ACATAATCACAATAGTAAAAGATGTTTATCTGTTTTCACAATCAATAGCCAGACAAAAAATAAAAGATAATTACAATTGCAAGCCATAATGGGAACATGATTAACTGAATAATATAAAATTACATACAATTTGGGAGGGGGGGTCAAGCAGAGTGATGTGGTAAATGGAAGTGCATACATGCACATGTTTTCATCTGCCCAGCAAGTCTATGTCTTTTGGTTGATGCATTTAATCCATTTACATTTAAGGTAATTAGCGATATGCATGCCCCTATTACTGTTTTCTTAATTGTTTTGGACTTATTTTCTGTAGGTCTTTTCCTTCTCTTGTGTTTTCTGCCTAGAGAAGTTCCTTTAGCATTTGTTGTAAAGCTGGTTTGGTGGTGCTGAATTCTCTTAACTTTTGCTTGTTTGGAAAGCTTTTGATTTCTCCATTAAACCTGAAGGGCAGTCTTGCTAAGTAGAGTATTCTTGGTTGTAGGTTCTTCCCTTTCATCACTTTAAATATATCATGCCATGCCCTTCTGGCTTGCAGAGCTTCTGTTGAGAAATAGGCTGACAGCCTGATGACGGTTCCCTTCTAATATTTTATTTGTCTTTAATTTTTGTCAGTTTGATTACTATGTGTCTTGGCGTGTTCCTCCTTGGGTTTATCCTTCCTGGGACTCTCTGTGCTTCCTGGGCTTAGCTATTTCCTTTCCCATGTTCAGGAAGTTTTCCGTTATTATCTCTTTAAATATTTCTCAGATCTTTTCTCTTTTTTCCTTCGGGACGCATATAACGTGAATGTTGGTGTGTTTACCATTGTCCCAGAGGTCTCTTAGGCTGTCTTCATTTCTTTTCTTTCTTTTTTCTATATTCTGTTCTGTGGCAGTCATTTCCACGACTTTTTCCTCCAGGTCTTTTATCCATTCTTCTGCTTCAGTTATTCTGCTGCTGACACCTTCTAGTGTATTATTCATCTCTATTTGTCTGCCCTTTAGTTCTTCTAGGTCTCTGGTAAACATTTCTTGCACCTTCTCAATCTTTGTCTACACTCTCTTCTGAGATCCTAGATCATCTTCATTACCATTATTCTGAATTCTTTTTCTATAAGGTTGCCTATCTCCACTTCATTTAGTTGTTTTTTTAGGATCTTATCTCACCCCTTCACCTAATAGATAGCTTTCTGCTTTTTCACGGTGATTAACTTTCTGTAATACGGTTTGTTTTAGCCATCTGTGAGACAGTGCTGCTTCTTGCTTCTTCTGTCCGCCCTCTGATGGACGAGGCTAAGAGGCTTATGTAAGCTTCTTGATGGGAGAGACTGGTGACAGGAAAAACTGGGTCTTGCTCAGCTGGCCAGGGCCTTGCTCAGTAAAGCTTTGGTCCAAGTATCTGTTGATGGGTGGGGTTGCACTCCCGCCCTTGTAGTTGTTTGGCCTGAGGCAACCCAGCCCTGGGGTCTACAGGCTCTATGGTAGGGTTAATGGCAACCTCCAAGAGGGTTTACATTAAGGGGGACCTTCTGGTGCCCCTGTCTCTGTGGTGAGCCCCTGCTAACCCACGCCTCCACAGGAGGCCCTCCAGCCTAGCAGGTAGTTTTGGTTCAGCCTCCTGTGGGGTCATTGTTCCTCTCCTCTGGTCTTGGTGCGCACAAAATTTTGTTTATGTCCTCCAAGACTGGAGTCTTCTTTTTCCCTCAGTCCTCTAGAAATCCTATAATCAAATCCTGCTGGCCTTTAAGGCCAGATTCCCTGGCCTTCCAGTCCCTTTGTTGGATCCCAAGGCTGGGAAGCCTGACATGGGGTTCAGAACCTTCACAAGAGTGAGAAAACTTTGGCATTACTGTTCTCCAGCCTGTGGGTCACCCACCCAGCAGGTATGGGATTTGATTTTTTACATGACTGTATGCCTCCCGCTGTCTAACTGTGGCTTCTTCTTTTTCTTTGGATGTGGGGTATCTTCTTTTGGTGGGTTCCAGTGTCATCCTATGGAGAAGGCAATGGCAACCCACTCCAGTACTCTTGCCTGGAAAATCCCATGGACAGAGGAGCCTGGTAGGCTGCAGTCCATGGGGTTTCGAAGAGTTGGACACAACTGAGCAACTTCACTTTCACTTTTCACTTTCACACACTGGAGAAGGAAATGGCAACCCCCTCCAGTGTTCTTGCCTGGAGAATCCCAGGGACAGTGGAGCCTGGTGGGCTGCAGTCTATGGGGTTGCACAGAATCGGACACGACTGAAGTGACTTAGCAGCAGCAGCAGCAGCAGTGTCGTCCTGTCTAGCTGCAAATTTCTGCAGGTTGTCCTCCTGCAAAGCTAGCTGCAATTGTGGTCCTCTCGCAGGAGGAGATGAGTGCACATCCTTCTATTATCTGCCATCTTGAACCAGACTTCAAACATAGCTTAATGTTTTATTTTATGTGGGTCATTATACTCTCAAACCAACTACCAACATATTGTTCACGAGACAATCTGGGAAATTTCTTCAATAGTATTTGATGAGATTAAGAAATTGTTATTAATTTTTAAGTGTGATAATGTTGCAGTTATGAAAAAAGGTATTCTAAAATTTTAACTTAAGCACAAATTGTTATATGATCTAGCAATTCCACTCCTATGTATATACCGCAAAGAATTAAAAACAGATAATGAAGTAAAATGGAAAACACGAAAATAATGTAACAGAACTAATACTGCAGATCAGTGGGAAAGTTCTGCCTTTTCAACAAAAGGTCCTGGATAGCTAGGGGAAGTGCTAGGGGGCAGTGATGGATCTAACTATATTTCTATCTTATGTCTGACCAAAATAATCCATTTCAGATGAATTAAATATTTAAATGTGAAAAGCAAAACATTACAATTTTAGAAGAAAATGTAACAGAATATCCTATGACATCATTTTTGTTCTTAAACAAAAAGCATAAACCACAGCAGAAGATTAATAAATTAAAGCTATTTATTAGCTCATCACCACAGAGGAAAAACATAGGTCATCAACAAGAAGGTATCTGCAATGCCCAAGTCCAGAATAAAGGATTCATATCAAGAAAATAAGGTCAGTATCAGTAAGAATATCAAGAATCAATACAAAGAAACAAACAGAAAAACCAGCAGAAGATACTAAGAGAAATGTCACATGAAGAAACATGAACTGTAAAAAGGGCAAAGATGATCAGTATCATTATTTAATTTTTAAAAAATTCTAGTTAAAAACAAGACAATCATTTTATATCAAAAACACAAGCAACAATTTTACAATCTAACAATTCTAAGAGCAAGAGTTACCCTCAAACTCTATTAGTGGGAGTATACATAGGTTAAAAAAATCATTTCAGAAAATACTGTCACTAATGCTGTGTGCTTGGTCGCTCAGTTGTGTCTGACCCTTTGTGTCCCCACAGACTGTAGCCTACCAGGCCCCTCTGTCCATGGGGATTCTCCAGGTAAGAACACTGGAGTGGGTAGCCTTTCCCTCCAGGGGGATCCTCCCAACACAGGGATCAAACCCAGGATTTCCACATTACAGGCGGATTCCTTACCGTCTGAGACACCTAATACCTACTAAGATGAAGATGGGCATGTTTCAGTACTTACCGATTACATCGTGAGTTTTTAAACACTAAAGAAAACTCTTGCATATGTGCACGAAAAAACACAAATCAAAACAGCTCACAGTAGATTTGTTCACAATGGCAAAAAAAAATTCAAAACAACTCCAAAGTCAATCAACAAATGTATCAATTCTCTTGTGTATTCAGAACAAGAAATACTACACATGAAAAGAAATAACTACAGGTATAGCCAACACGGATGCATCTCAAAAAGAAAAATATGGATTGAAACAAGTCACTGTGCACTCAAAGACATATACAAGAATACTCACAGCAGCAGCACTCAGAATAGCTTGAAATTGCCCAAATATCCATTAATACCACCTGACCCAGCTGACAGGTCCTCCTCCGAGAACTCTCTCTGGTCTCCAGAGTACCACTCTCTGGGTCTTCCTGCTACGCCTCTATACATTCTTCACTGCCCCCTCCACCTTCCCCAGATATCTCAACAGTGGAAGTACCTACTGCTGAGACATGAAAGCTTTTCTCGTTTCTCTACCCGCTCCCTAGGAGAGCTCATCCTTTCTCATAACTTTATGTACCATTTACAAGTTTATGATTTCAAGTCTTATTCAGGTCCAGCCCAGCTCTCTCCCTTGAACGGCACACCTGGATCTCCATGGTCTTTCTGATACTCCACCTTGATGTCTAATAGGCCTCTCAAATTTAATATTGCCAAAATCGATCTTCTCATTTTCCACCCTAAATCTGCTCCATCAGTAATTATTCCCATGTCAGTTAAGTACAACTCCACCCTTTCAGCTGCTTAGGAAAAAATCCTGGAGTCATCTTTAATCCTTCTCTTTTTTGTCACAGCCCTCATCTCCTTTGTAAGCAGATCCTGTGCAACAAGCACTTGTCACCCTTCCACCACTGCATCCTGGCCCATACTGCCCTCATCAGTGACAGCTTCCTGAATAGTGCTGGGCTCCCTTCTCTGCCCCATGCTCACTACTCTCCCTCACAGTTCTTTTCTCAACACAGCGGCCAGAATGATCCTTAGGAAGTGGAAACCAGTTTACAGCATTCCTCTGCAGCAAACTCTCCAATGGCTGGTCCTCCGGCTCAGAGCACAAGCCAAGCAGCTATGAAGCCTCTGCATGATCTGCCTCCTGTTCGCTCCCTCCACAGCCTCATCTCTTACAAGGCAGCAATTCTTGTTCCTTTTGTTCATCTCCAGTGCCTAAAAGAGTGCTTGGCACCTAACAGGGGCTCATTAAATAACTGCTGAATGAATGGAACCATTTAAGTGCTGAGAATTGTGCCTGGCACCTCATTATGGCTCAGTAATTAGCCATGATTACCATTATTTCCGAAGGGCTGATGTGATGGAAAGGACACTCACAGAAACTCATCTCTTAATTTCTGCTAGTTCAGAAAAGGGCCCGCCAGGATATACCTACTTGTTAATTCCTCTTTGCTGGCAGCACTCCCCTCTTCTTCAGATGGTTCTGCAGCAGTCTCTTGGCTGGGCTCTTTAACTCTTTCATCAGTGAGAAGGCTGACTGCTTGGGTGATGTCACCATTACTGGCCTAAGGGGAGGGAAAAAAACAAATTTCAAAAGTCAAACATCATGGCATTTAAAATAAACAGCAAGTGAGTTTGGGGGTTATAACTCCTTACTACCCTAGTGTCACACTAAATCTAGGCATAATTCTAGGATATACAGTAGGAAACTTGAAGCGATGCTATCACACTCTCAGGTACAGGACAGGAGCGCCACGTGCTGATTTCCCACAGCATGCAAACAAGAATGAAACCTCATTGCTTTGGATACTCCTCCTCCTGATTGCATAATGGCTAAGGCATGATGTATCAGACTCCAAATGAAGTCAGCCCCTACAATAAAGGTGCCAAACAGTCATCATATTCTCAAGTGGTGACCATACTTCTATTTCGTTTTAACTTTTTAAACTTTCCTTAGGGAAAAATTCTAATGTATACAACAGAAGTGAGAACATATAACTGAATCCCAAGTGCCCATCACTCGACTTCGATAGTCACTGAGCCAGTCAATCTTATTTTATCTCTTCTGCCTTCCCTCCCTCAGATATTCTGAAGCAAATCCTAAGCATCTTATTACATCATCATTCAACATTTCAGAATGTATCTTTAAAAAAATATACAACCCACAGTGCTGTCCTCACACAATAACCAGTTTAAATTGCCCTGACTCAAGTATTTTTTAGTGTGAATCAGGATCCATAAAAAAAGGCCCATACAGGGCAGTTAGTTGATATGTATCTTAAATCTCTGCAGAGTTCCCTGCACTGTCTCTTCCATCCTCAACTTTTTCCTGCTCTTATAATTTACAGGTTGAAGATGCTGGGTCATTTGACCTCTAGAACTTCTGTCCCTATACATATGCACTTTCATTTTGGCATAAAAATAGCCTGAACTGACATAACTACGATATGAACAACTGTTCTAAAACCTGTTGACTCATAGAGGCCTTGAACTAACCTTCAGAGCTTCATGAAGAAAAGAAGGGTCCTGAATGCCTGTGATTTCTCTCAGTTGATTCAACAGCATTTGACAGCTCTGTATTTGAGAAAAAAAATGAACACAAGACATGTGTCAATCAGAAAGTAAACCTGGATACACGTAAAGAAGAGACATAAACATCTAGGGTAAACAGGTTTGAGAACTGTATTTCTTACTTTAAAAAACCAACAAGCTCCAAGCAACAAGGTACTGACTGTCAGACACATTGTGAAATGTCAAATGTATTACTCTTCTAAAGGCTTAATCATAGAAAGTGCTTTTGGCACTTGTGGAAGAAATACAAGTAAAAAGTAAAACTACAAATACACAAAACATTTAAAAGTAATATTCTAGCCCTAATGGGCACTTAAAGTGCCTCATGTTTCTCTCTGTGAGCAGTGTGTAAGTAGGTCACTATAAGGAGTCCAGGGAATTTGCATGGATGTGAAGATGTGCTATTTTAAGCTTCACTGCACATGCCATTTGTGTGTGTCATTTTTCACTGACAATAAATTTCCGATCATGTAATTAACAAACGATATCACCAATGTCACATTTGAAACTTTAGGTCTGATTGCTTAAAAAGAAGTATAGATAAAGCTGGAATCTTCTGAATTATAAATAAAATTCCAGAGAGAATAAAGTATGGAGTGTTTTCTCTTCATTAATCTGAATCATGGCAAAACCTTCCATGCTACAAGATCAGTTTATAACCCCTTTCAGCCTCAAAGTCTTCACTAAGCATTTTGTCCTGTTTTGCACAAAGACAAAAGTTAACACAAAACACCTATTTACAAGTAAGATAAACCTAAACAGTCAGTTGGCCCAAGTGAAGACACAGTGATCTTTCAGATGAATACTGAAAACGAAACTGTTCATATTTAGTCCAACCAGTAGAAATCTAATTTACACTATTCTTAAGGGTATCCTAGAATGAAGCCCCAAATCAACAGCTGACGTGTGACCACTATCTTTCAGTTAGCGCTGTGTCTCCAAGAGGCAGTCTAGCTCCCTGCCAACTGTGAGAGAAACAGTATCCTCTGTTCTTCAACAGCTGAGGGCCCAATGCAACACTCAAGTATCACTCACTAGAAAAAACAAACTGAAACACCCCTCTACAGTCCTCAGAAAAGCATCAACAGTCTTTCTGTTCTAGTCACAGGCTGTGGTCATAGGCTCGAAATGGAACCCTACCCTGCTGAGCCCAGCAGTCCTGGAGGCTGGGCATCTGTCTCGGGCAGTCACTGCCGGGGCACTGGGAGAGGGACTTTCGCACTAAGAAGTGTCCAAAGCTAACTTTGGGAAACACTGAACACACACAGCATCTGATGCTTAGAAAAGTAAAGCATCAAAAAGTCTGTTTCCAAACAAATCCTAATTCCGTTGATCATACTGTGTAAAAGTGTGTGAACCTATATAGCTCAATCATACTCAATTTCCTAAAAAGTTCAAACTGACGTACCCAAAAAAGGATGGAATAACAACTGGGAAGGGGAACTGGGTAGCATATCAGGCTGAACTGGAACCAAGAAGGGAAGAGTGGGATAGACAAACATACCTTCACCTCAGACCACTCGGTGTATCAACAAAAGACAATGCCAGATGGCATAACAGCTCACACACACTGCTTACTTCCCACCAGGTGATGTTCAAAACACTTCAGAGGTATTAACTCCTTTCTCTCTCGGAACAAACCTGTGAGAGAGACACTGCGCCCATCTGACAGAAGACTGAGACACAAAGAGGCTGAGTAACTTACAGAAAGTCACTGCTAGTAAGGGTTGGAGCTGGGATTGGACTCCAGGCTGCCCGACTCCAGAGTCTGCACCCTAACCTCTATGCCATGCTATATCTGAGAAGACGAAGAAAACAGGCAAGAATGCCTACTTAATGCAAAACAATGCAAATATTTTATCCTGAAATTTTGACCTTGATCTTAGCAAGTTTCCTATTTTTATTACAGCTGCCTTTATATAAGCACAGTTTTAATTACTCTGTAGAACAACCAGTTCCAAATAAGCTACCATCATGAGCTAGAGAGGTAAACACAAAAGAGACTGAATCTAAGGTGCCATCAGTTATAAAATGGTGCCACCAGAGAGAAAAACTGCTGCTACTTACACTATGACACAAGACCTTCACGACAGTCTTAGGAGACACATGAACTGGTCACGTCAGCTTCTTGTGGCTCCAAAATGTCTCATTTATGTTGAGAAACAGAACAATTCACCCTGCTTTCAGGTGCACAGCCTGGCATGCATTAAATAACTCTCTTGCATATTTCTCAGCAACAACAACAAAAAAGGCTTAAAACACCTTTCTGAGGTCCCATGATACATTTGATTGTAGTTTTGCAAGAAAATCTGAAATTGCAGTCATTCCTCCAAAGACAAATATTTTACTTCACATAAAATCAAATCTGTACCCTGCTGTTCTGTTTCTATGCTTTTCTTCATAGTTTTTGTTTGTTTCACTGTTGAATCATAGTGGGATCTTTTTAAAGTCATTTTAGATGGCAAATTAAACTAACACCTTGCTTATTTAACTTATATGCAGAGTACATCATGAGAAATGCTGGGCTTGAAGAAACACAAGCTGGAATCAAGACTGCCGGGAGAAATATCAATAACCTCAGATGTGCAGATGACACCACCATTATGCAAGAAAGTGAAGAGGAACTAAAAAGCCTCTTGATGAAAGTGAAAGAGGAGAGTCAAAGAGTTGGCTTAATTCAGAAAACTAAGACCATGGCATCTGGTCCCATCACTTCATGGCAAATAGATGGGGAAACAGTGGCAGACTTTATTTTTCTGGGCTCCAAAAATCACTGCAGATGGTGATTGCAGCCATGAAATTAAAAGACGCTTAATCCTTGCAAGGAAAGTTATGACCAACCTAGATAGCATATTTAAAAGCAGAGATATTACTTTGCCAACAAAGGTTCGTCTAGTCAAGGCTATGTTTTTCCAGTGGTCATGTGTGGATGTAAGAGTTGGACTGTGAAGAAAGCTGAGCACCGTAAAATTGATGCTTCTGAACTGTGGTGTTGGAGAAGACTCTTGAGAGTCCCTTGGACTGCAAGGAGATCCAACCAGTCCACCCTAAAGGAGATCAGTCCTGGGTGTTCACTGGAAGGACTGATGCTGAAGCTGAAACTCTAGTACTTTGGCCACCTCATGCAAAGAGTTGACTCACTGGAAAAGACCCTGATGCTGGGAGGGATTGGGGGGAGGAGGAGAAGGGGGCGACAGAGGATGAGATGGTTGGATGGCATCACCAACTCGATGGACATGAGTTTGAGTAAACTCTGGGATTTGGTGATGGACAGGGAGGCCTGGCATGCTGCGATTCATAGGGTCGCAAAGAGTCGGACACGACTGAGCAACTGAACTGAACTGAACTAACCATGCAGCACCAACAGGGCAAGTAACTGGGCTGCCATGGTGGCAGGAACAGCTATGACCAAGCCCACACGTGTGTAGACCATGATAGCTACACCACATGTGCTACGTGGAAGATAGTCAAGCAAGGAGCATCTCAATTTCAGAGATCTCAGAATGCCAAATAAGTGCTAATGAAGGAAATATGGTATTCAAATGATAAGTAACTTACTAGCCATTACATGTGGCCACAGGTTAAAATCCCACTCCTCTGTCTCCACGCTTTAACAGGTAGCAGCAGACATTAACACATCTAGAATAATACACTCAGGAAAGGAAACTCAGGTTCCCTTTTTTTTAAAGCTATTGGGCAGAGATGACAAAGACATAAAATCATTCTGTGCAGCTCCAAGAACAGTGTTGCTCATCTCATCTCCCTCAGGAACTCTGTGTGTGTGCTAGGTCAGTCACTGCAGTCTGACTCTGTGCAACCCTGTGGACTGTAGCCCGCTAGGCTCCTCTGTCCTTGGGGATTCTCCAGGCAAGAACATCAGAGTGGGTTGCTCTGCCTCCGCAGAGGACCGTCCTGACCCAGGGATCAACCCGCGTCTCTCATGTCTCCCGCGCTGGCAGGCAGGTTTTTGACCACTATTGCCACCTGGGAAGCCCCATGCTCTTCAGGGACTCCAGCCCCTTGCTATTCTCTGCCCTTTCTAACCTCCCATGCCAATGGAACAAATGAGCCTGCAAAGGAATGGGACTTCCTATCTTTACCTGATGTTTCTCACCATGTGGATCTCTGTTTTAAATGTGAAATTCCTGCCTCCATAAAGACAACAATCACACAACACACCACCTAATGTGAATTATCCACAGGACAGTGCTGTTCACAATTGTAACTAACACTTAGTGAACGCCTGTCAGGAACCATGGATGCCTCATACATCATGTAACCCCTGGAACAACCCTAAAATAGTCAAGGATCATCTTCATTGTGCAAATTAGAAAACTAAGGTTTATAAAACCAATTTTGTCATCAAATGTCTTGGAACTAAATGATTAACCAAAAATAACCATTAAGAGTCTGAACAACACATTTCACAAGGAATAAGCTATGCTATTGGCACACATGAACAATTGCTATGACATGACTCAGTCTTACAAATATTTAGCTAAACCTAAATTCTCAGTAGTACCCACAACCCAAATCCAGATCAGGGCTTCCTGGGTATAGACGGTAAGCAATCCATCTGCAATGCAGAAGAGTCAGGTTCGACCCCTGGGTCAGGAAGATCCCCTGGAGTGGGAAAAGGCTCCAGTATTCTTGCCTGTAGAATCCATGGACACAGGAGCCTGGTGGGCATATCTGACATGTTAATTTTACAACAGACAGGCTGAGTTCATTAGGCTCTTACTGCATCGCTAACTCACAGTTTCTCCTCGACTTCACATGAAATTGATTTAAATATTAACTTCCCCATTAACTACGATGCTACAAATAAAGTACACACCCAACAAGAGACAAGACAAAGCCTGTGCTCCAGTCATAATGAAGTCAAATAACTGGCAAGAGCCAACAGGTTTGCATTTCCTTAACTAAATACATATTAGTTTCATAAAACAAAGAGTACTCTCTTTTCTTGCCCAGAGGCAGTGAAGAAAGACAGGCACACACAC